ACTAAAAATAAACTTACCATATGATCCAGCAGCAATCCCACTCCTGGGTATATATCCAGAGGGAACCCTACTTCAAAAAGATACATGCACCCCAATATTCATAGCAGCACTATTTACAATAGTCAAGACACGGAAACAATATAAATGTCCATCAGATGATTGGATACAGAACTTGTGGTATATTTATACAATGGAATACTACTCAGCCATAAAAAGAATAGAATAATGCCATTTGCAGCAACATGGATGGACCCGGAGACTGTGATTCTAAGTGAAGTAAGCCAGAAAGAAAAATACCATATATCACTTATATGTGGAATCTAAAATAAAAGACAAATGAACTACTTATAAAATAAAAACAGACTCACAGATATAGAAAATAAAATTACGGTTATTGGAGGGGGGCAGGGGACGGGGGTGGGAAGGGATAAATAGGGAGTTCGAGAGTTACAGATACTAAGCACTATATATAAAATAGATAAACAACAAATACACACTGTACAGCACAGGGAACTATATTCAGTATCTTGTAGTAACATGGTGAAAAAAGAATATGAAAATGAATATATGTTTCTTCATGTATGACTGAAGCATTGTGCTGTACACCACAAATTGACACAACATTGTAAACTGACTGTACTTCAATAAAAAATAAATAAATAAATAAATAAATAAATTTAATAAATCCTTACCTCTTTAGGATTAATATATCTCACTATCTGACGTGGCTCCCCTTGTCTTCTTATATTAATCAGACTTTTTAAATGTTGGAACACAGCAACATTCTAAAAGTTCAAACACATAAGATTTTATGGTCAAAACTGGGTTTTCTACCTCTAATTAGCTTTTTACCTAACTAGGGCAAAATAAGTAAAAAGCATAAAACAGATTTGCATATGTAAACTTGATTTTAGAAACATTATCCACTTAGGGTTTGCTTTGACAAGCCAGGCAATATTGGTATTATTCTCACAGAGTTTTACTCTTAAATTTATAATTGTTTTACTAGCAACTATAAAGAAAATCTCCAGAACTTTGGCTGTGACACTTTTGCATAATCCAGAGTAATCTAGCAGAAAGACAAGATGCAGTTTAGCAGTCAAGAACACTGAGCATGGCATAATATTGTCATGGTTTAACTGTTAGTACTTACTAGCTGTGTGATCCTAAACAAGTTGCTCAGTTTCTCACCTAAAATATGGGAGCTATGGTTGGGAGTAAATGAGTTAATATTTGTAAAGCACTTAGAACAACTTCTGGCACAAGAAAT